AGGCGGGGGGAGATCCAGCGGGGGTGGTGGTGGAGGACAGGGAGGAACCGGCAGGATGGGGGGGGGCTGTTGTAATTCAGGGAGGTCTCCAGGCCCCACCTGGAGATTGGCAGCCTTGATCTGAGTGTATGAGGACCCTGTGCTTGTGTGTGTGGAGGGGGAGGGGAACGATTGGATTGCAACCGGACAACGTTGCGTGCAGCCCCTAGTTATGTAGTTGTTTATAATAGTCGAAATAATAGTCCAGCCCAACTTCATCAGATATATCCCATTTTCCAGCCAAAATGTGTTCCCAAAGAGGCTCACAGGGATTGCAGTGTAGTACAAATGAATATTAAATGAAATCGGGAGAGGATTCTCAGCTGGATCTGGGGCCCAGCAATGATGGGAGGGGCCTGGCTGCATCCCTTTGATTGCTCCATAGGGGGTAGTAGGAACCCGGAGAGGAGCAATCAATTCGTTTTGAAATTAAGAACATAAGAACACAAGAGATGCCAATGTTGGATCAGGCCAAAGGCCCATCCAGTCCAACACTCTGTCACACAGTGGCCAGAAATACCAGGGACCACCAGGAGGTCCACCAGTGGGGCCAGGACACGAGAAGCCCTCCCACTGTTGCCCCCCCCAAGCACCAAGAATACAGAGCATCCCTTGCCCCAGAGTCCCTATCTATACCTTGTGCCTAATAGCCACTGATGGACCTCTGCTCCATATGCCTATCTAATTCCCTTTTGAAGCCGTCCATGCTTGTAGCCACCGCCACTTCCTGTGGCAGTGAATTCTACGTGTTAATCACTCTCTGGGTGAAGAAGGATTTCCTTTTATCCGTTCTAACCCAACCGCTCAGCAATTTCATGGAGTGTCCACGAGTTCTTGTATTGTGAGAAAGGGAGAAAAGTGTATTGAATTATGTCGTCCTAAACTCCCACCCTCTCCCGTGTAAATGGGGAATGGCGGGTAAGAAACCTAAATAAATAAATAAATAAATGTTGAGGATCCATTCTTTCGATGGCAGGAGACTTCTGCGTCAGTGGTTGGATCCCTGCACCGAAGGAAAAGGGGGCCGCTGTTAGTGAACCGGATCTCCGGGACCCTGCCCATTGGCTGCAGTGCCTGCCTTTCAAGAAAACAGATTCCCGTGAACTGAGCAAGTTCCTTGGTGAAAGAGAGAACTGTATTAAAAAGCATAAACGGGGGATGACATTCCTCCCCTCTCCTAGAAGACAGCACAGGAAAAAGAATTCACCTTGTCACCAAGGATCCGTCGTTTGAAACAGAGCAGGAGCAAAGAAATCGGAGGAACCGCGTGTTTCTCAGTCAGTCAGCCGTCCTTCAGGGCCTCAAATGCTTTGAATGTTCTGACTATGGGCAGTTGGATTCATGGGTGTCAATACTGATCAGACGGCCCTGACAGGGATAGCCTGAACAACACCCCGGAAGCTAAGCAGGGTCGACTCTGGTCAGTTTGGTGCAGTGGTTAAGTGCGTGGACTCTAATCTGGGAGAACGGGGTTTGATTCCCCACTCCTCCACATGCAGCAGCTGGATGACCTTGGGCAAGCCATAGTTCTGTCGGAGCTGTTCTTGAAAAAGAGCAGTTTCTGTCAAGTGCGTGGTTTGATTCCCCACTCCTCCACTTGGACCTGGCTGGATGACCTAGGGCAGGCCATAGTTCTGATAAGAGCTGTCCTTGAAAAAGAGCAGTTTCTGTCAAGTGCGCGGACTCTAATCTGGGAGGACCGGGTTTGATTCCCCACTCCTCCACTTGCAGCTGCTGGATGACCTTGGGCAGGCCATAGTTCTGGCACAGCTTTTCTTGAAAAAGAGCAGTTTCTCTCAGAGCTCTCTCAGCTCCACCTATTTTACAGGGTGTCTGTTGTGGGCAGCGGAAGGGAAAGGAGATTGTCAGCCGCTCTGAGACACCTTTGGGTATGAGCCAGTTTGGTGTAGTGGTTAAGTGCGCGTACTCTAATCTGGGAGAACCGGGTTTGATTCTCCACTCCTCCACTTGCACCTGGCTGGATGACCTTGGGCAAGCCGTAGTTCTGATAAGAGCTGTCCTTGAAAAAAGAGCAGTTTCTGTGAAGAGCTCTTTCAGCCCCACCTACCTCACAGGGTGTCTGTTGTGGGCAGCGGAAGGGAAAGGAGATTGTCAGCCGCTCTGAGACACCTTTGGGTAGTGAAGGGCGGGGTATAAATCCAATCTCTTCTTCTTCTTCTAAGTACTTGGATAGGAAACCTCCTTGAAATACCAGAGGCGGGAGGCGGGGACAGGCTCCATTCAGCCACCTCTCTGAATATCCTCCAGCCCCCCAGTAGGGGTCAGTCACCAGAGGTCACCATGATTTCAAGGTGCACACACAGTCAGTCTCCAGAAGTTGCTATGACTTCCAGGTGCGCACACACTCACACAGAGACACACATGCACATATTTAAAAAGTACTGCTCAGACAGACACATCAGGGGTGATAAAAGTGGCTGTGCTTCCAGATGGGGAAAAGGTCATTTATCCCTGTAGCACAATGCTTACGTTAAAATTTTTACAACATTTATAGAATGCGTTTCTCAGAAAAGCCTCTTGGTAAAAATAATAATCAAGTTACAAAATCTCTTACCCGGTAAACATTCCCTTTCACAGTATTTCCATCTGGACACGGACTATATTATACTTGGATAATGGGGACAGTATGCATTGTAATATGAACAAAATGGATGTCTTGTGGAAAGCCAGCCTATGGGTATTCATATTTTGTTATCTATTTTATTTTATTTATTTTATTTGATTACATGTTTTATTTTATTTTTTATTTTATTTTATAGATGGGGAAAAGGTCATTTATCCCTGTAGCACAATGCTTACGTTAAAATTTTTACAACATTTATAGAATGCGTTTCTCAGAAAAGCCTCTTGGTAAAAATAATAATCAAGTTACAAAATCTCTTACCCGGTAAACATTCCCTTTCACAGTATTTCCATCTGGACACGGACTATATTATACTTGGATAATGGGGACAGTATGCATTGTAATATGAACAAAATGGATGTCTTGTGGAAAGCCAGCCTATGGGTATTCATATTTTGTTATCTATTTTATTTTATTTATTTTATTTGATTACATGTTTTATTTTATTTTTTAATTTATTTTATTTTATTTATCTTTGGATTTGTATCCCGCCTCCCCGCTAGCGGGCTCAGGGCGGCTCACATTGCTTGGCCCAACGTGCCAAGATTCATATGAACATTTAAAACATTTAAAACCATTTAAACAAACAACAATTTTCAATTAAAAGTGCACACAATAGTTATTAAGGCAGGATGGCGTGCCATATAATGCAGGGCTTCAAGCACTCCACTCAGCAGTCTCCAGTTCTTCAAGATAGTATGGCTCGATCTCAACTGTGGCTGCCCTACGCCACAGATATTAATTGTGGCCGTTGATGGTAGTGGTGGGCGGCTCCTAATGAAAGGCATATTTAGAAATCTAGCATATTTATATACCCTCCAGCATGATGTAGTGGTTAAGAGTGATGTACTCTAATCCGGAGAACCATGTTTGATTCCCTGCTACTCTATGTGGAGCCTGCTGGGTGACCTTGGGCCAGTCACAGTTCTCCGAGCCCTGCCTACCTCACAAAGTGCCTGTTGTGGGGAGAGGAAGGGAAAGGAGATCGTAAGCCTCTTTGAGACTCCTTAAGGCACTTCTTCGCTCAAAGAATGATCCACACGTGGAATTCACTGCCACAAAAAGTGGTGGCAGCTACAAGCATAAACAGCTTCAAGAGGGGATTGGAGAAACATATGGAACAGAGGTC